CATGCATCCTCTGGCTCCTCTTGAATCTTACTAAAATTAGAAGACTACCGAATTATGTTTAAAAAAATGAACTCACACATTCCTACTACAACTATCCCATGTCAAAAAGCTTCAATCCTATCAGAGAAAAACATTTTATTTAATATTTATTTCCTAAAAGCATGCCAGCAGATGGTTTGCGCCCCCCCAAAACCCCCACCTCATTTAATTTTGGTTATCATAGTCAAAACATCAAAATTAGGCAGTCTATATTTCAGAGTGTATTCATGAACTGGAATAGGGCACAGTAACAAAGTCAGCCAATGAGTAGGCATGGCAACAGACCAACCAAGGGGAGCTGAATGGAAATTGAAACTGGAAGTAGCCTGGGTGTGGCTCTAGTCCAGTGGTGGTTAATCTTTTTAGGCTCCTATACCAAAAATTGTGCGCGCACTTGCGTGCTAGCACCCGGAAGGCAATGCGCCCCCCTCATGCCCCCTATGTATGCCAAAAAACTAATCACCCACCCACCCACCTACCCCATCACCCCCTTACTTGCACTACACCTCACAGCTGATTTTCGGCAGGTTTGAGGCCTTTTTTGGATCCCCAAGGCTTGAGGAAGGCTTCTGCAGGCTGAAAACTAGCCGTTTCATCACTTCCGGTATTTTCGGGGGAAAAAAAAGTGATGAAATGGGGGTAGTTTTCGGCCTGCAAAGCCTTCCTCGAGCCTTTGGGAGGCTGAAAAAGGCCTCAAACCTGCTGAAAATCAGCTGTGAGGTGCGCACATGCGCAGTGAAGTAAGTTTGCCTGCAGCTCGTGTGCCGGCATAAATAGCTCTGTGTGGCACTGTGGAACATATGCCATAGGTTTGCCATCAGGCTCTAGTCTCTTGCTTGCCTGCTGCTCAAAAGTGAAACTAACTTGCTTGCTTGCTGCAATTGATATCTGTCTGAGCTGCTGCTGCTTGTGTTTTGCTTATGTTGTTGAAAGAATCTACAAATGGTATTATAAACTTTATTCATTTATGTTTATAAAGAAGTTGATGACCCTGCTGAATCAGTCATCTGTGTGTTTTCTGGACTTGAATTTCTGCTGCAAACTCTAACACTATATACATGCTATGGAAACTAGGGTATTTATATAAATATGCATACTTTCCTTTTATATTTATTTAAAATGAATCCCAAGCTAATTCACAGCAAGGTAACAAAAGTACAACAGAAATATAAAATTAACAATTAGAATAATTAAAAATCTATGTTAAATACAAATAAAAATCTGCTTTGGAAATCTGTCAGCTTTCAACTTGGCTCACACATTAACATATTTAAGTTGTAATTACGAAGAATTTACAGATACAAAATACGAAGTACTGCAATAACAGAGTTGGAAGGAATCTTGGAGGTCTTCTGCTCAGGTAGAAACCCTATACCAGTGATGGCAAATCTTTTCAGCACTGAGTGCCCAAACCAGAATGTGCACACACATGCAGGCTAGAGCACCGGAAACCCAAGATCAGCTGGCCAGTGCACATGCACACACTGGTCAGCTGTTTTTTGCGTGCGCCGGAGCGCCCTATACCATTTCAGACAAATGGCTGTCCAATCTCTTAAAAACTTCAAGTGTTGGAATATTCACAACTTCTGGAGGCAAGTTATTCCATTGGTTAATTATTCTGTCAGGAAACTTATTAGTTCTAGGTTGCTTCTCTCCTTGGTTAGTTTCCACCCATTGCTTCTTGTTCTGCTTTCAGGTACTTTGGAGAATAAAGGCACCTGAAGGCAGGACAAGAAGCAATGAGTGGAAACTAATCAAGGAGAGAAGCAACCTAGAACTAATAAGAAGTTTCCTGACATTAACCAGTGGAATAACTTGCCTCCAGAAGTTGTGAATGCTCCAACAAAGGGAGTTTTTAAAAAGAGATTGAACAACCATTTGTCTGAAAATGATATAGGGTTTCCTGCCTGAGCAGGGGGTTAGACTAGAAGACCTCCAAGGTCCCTTCCAACTCTGTTATTCTGTAACCTAGTTATGTATTTCCACTCCAGGCCAAATGGGAATGTGGCAGAATTCCTATCCTGAAAGCTGTCAGGATCTAGAGTGGAAAAACAAGGTCAAATGAAACAAGATTCAGAAACCTTCTGATTCTTGAATGATATGATCTTTGGATTTTAATTTGATTGTGTTCTCCCACCGAGAATAGACCAACAGTTTGGATATCCTCCTTAATTCATAGCTCTTGGTGAAAAATCAAGATGGGGGTCATAATCAAAAGGGACTTAAAATTTCTTAGATCTTATTGCATTTTATGATTTACATTGGTTGTGTCAGTTGTCTAGCATGTCCTTCAAGACTGAAGCAGTATATAAATTTCATTAATAAATAAAATAAATCCTGAAGCTAATGTTCCTTCCAGAACTTGGTATCCTCTTAAATCTTCCAAATGACACATGTCCTTAGAGAGCTCCAATGATGGGAAGCTTGATCTAAAAATCCCCTCTACGGGAGTTTTGCAAGCACAGTCAGTAGCATGGACTTTTTTCAAGTGGACTAGTTGAGAAAGCAAGATCCAGGATTTACAATAAGCTCAAATCCCCTTTCTTACTATATACTGTACATAGCTCTATAGATTTGCTGGTGTATGCCTATCAAGGTCTACAGTACATCTTCAAGAATAGAAATTACCTAATAACCAAGCATTTCCCGGCCATTATTTAGTACAGACAATGTTAAATTTCTATAGTTAAGATAAATAAACTGAAGCTATTTTCAAACAATCAAACTCACTGTCAACTATTACCTAATGTTAATACAAATTAGTAAGAGATAAGGATTAAAAAAAGCAACATACTGGATGATGATTAAAGTCTACAAAATAATAAAGCTGTTAAGAATAAATTCTGGCTTGGAATCAGGCCAACTGATGCTTTCATTTGCCATACAGAAATGGCAAAGACAAGGCAGAACTGCATTCACTCAAATTAGAGAGGAAAAGCAAGCCAAGAATGAGCTCAAATGACTTTCACCTTCATGGCAATTGACTGCAAGAACAAAATCAGCCACAAAGGAACATTACTGATATCAGATGAATTTCAAAGGAATGATTATTTTGGCTAGCCTTAGTTGCAAATTATCAATTTTTAAACCATTATTATCCTAATGAATCTATCTGGCACCCACATATTCCTTGCAAGTTTTAAAAGGAAATCCCACAAGAATTTCAGTGCTTGCTGAACTTAATTAATTTGAAATTAAAGTATCTGTTGAATTTTAACCTACATTATCATGTGCAATTCTTTCATGTTTCATATATTCCTGGAAAAATATGCAATTCTTAGACAAAGATCATATTATGTATGTATGTAGTATGTATGTAATGTATATATGTGAATCTTCAGTTAAATCACTATGCATAGTGTTTTACTAGTACCAAATCTTGAAAGGCTTCATATTTAATATAAACTCTACTTGGTTTATTTATTTACTTAGTTAATTGGACAGAATGTTATCTTCTAACACCATTACATCAATATTATAGAGTACTGTTTGTGGAAAACCCACTTTTATCCATTTGCTTATTTTTAACTGATATTATGGGATAAGCCAGTTAAAATTCATTAAAAGCCTGTTATTTGGATCATGTGAATTGATACTGTGATTTATTGAACGATGAGGTTTTATTACTCCAATTGAAGAGAATATAACAGGGGTTGAACTGTAAAGCTCTTGGTGCTGATGTTGTTACCAAGTCGGGTATAATGCCTGCAAACAACCAACCTCAAGAGAGCATCAAGGACTTGAAAGTTTTTATTCTGTTCTATGTTAAAGAGAAAATATAATAAAAAAAACAACTGGCAATAGTTTACAATTTTTGTCACATGTTGATTTGAATCAGTGGCATTTCTGCTGCAAAGATACCTTATAGGTAGTACTTGACTTATAACAATTCGTTTAGTGACCACTCAAAGTTACAACTGCACTGAAAAAAGTAATTTATGATCATTTTTTCACTTATGGCTATTGCAGCATCCCTATGGTCAAATAATTTAAATTCAGTTGTTTGGCCACTGACTCATATTTATGACTGTTGCAGTGTCTTGGGGTCATATGATCACCTTTTGTGACCTTCTGTAAAGTAAAGTCATGGAGAAATCAGATTTACTTAACAATCATGTTACTAACTTAACAACTACAATGATTCACTTAACAATTGTGAAGTCATAAAATGAGCAGAACTCACTTAACAAATGTCTCACTTAGCAACATAAATATTGGGGCTCCATTGTGGTCATGAGGTCATAAATACTTGTATTTATTAGAAATTATTAAATGTGAGACTAAAAACCCACAATTGGTTGTTATAAATATTTGTCAATAAAATAATTCAATATGGAAATATTAAATATTGCCTGGAATAAAGAACTGGGGACCCCCATTTTATCTGAACAACGAGAGATATAGTCTTAATGTATGACAAAGACCAATAGATTTAAACTTTACTGAAAAAATATATTTCAAATTTACTTTACATATATTAATCTGACTTGGAGAAACATTTTAACATTATCAGATACCTATGTTATTTTGAACTATATACTTATGGTTAGAAAATAGGAATGGATTTTCCATATCCTCCTCAAAAGGCAGATTATATATGGGCCATTACAATGAAATTACAGATGACCAGCCTGAGCCTGAGGGAGGGGTCAAGCACATCATCAGTGTCAAGCCCCTTCATGCCCTCAAGAGATCTAAGTCCAGCCCACCTTGAATTCCATTAACTCTTATCTACTGCCAATTCATTTTGACAGTTAGCAATTCAGATTCTTGTAGAAAATAAGTTAGTATGCAATAAACCTGTATTCCTTTGAACTGCTCTGGATCATCATTTCCTGGGCTTGACAGAAATATAGCCATTCTTTTATAGAAATTTTGGAACTAACTAATTGCCAATTCCGTTTATTTTTACAGTTATTCCATTAACTTTCATTAACTTAGAAACACCTTTAGCTACTTACTAATTTGGTTGTTAGTCTTGAAAGCAATGTCCATATGCAAAATGCAGAGAATAAATTGGAACCAGGGACTCATCTCATTCTTGGGAAGTGGTATGTGGATGGCAAACACAATGTTATTCGCTTCAATTTGTCTGTTCACAGCTTCATCCAAATCTCTGAGTTTATTACACTGGTCAGGTCCCCATGGTATGAACCATTTGGTCTTATGATGGTCTTTCTGCAAGTCTATGCACTTTGCAGCCATATAAGGTACAGCAGCAGTAGGGTCTGGAGCTGAAAAACAAACAAACAAAATTCACACGTAAGCAATTTAGCATTCACAAAATACACAAGAAAAAAGCTAACTGGATGAATTTGACCAATCAATGTCTCTCAGCCCAACATAACTTACAGAGTTGGGGGTGTTTTGTTTTTTTGGGGGAGGAGACAAAGAATGAAGGTGCACCATGAAAATTACCTTGAGCTCCTGAATGAAACAGAAATAAATCACATAGATTTGGCCGTGCACAAAATAACATTACTTAAGTATCAATTTACCAAAAACATTTCATATAAAACACCAATGTTACATGATGAACAAAGCAAACTATTCACTGACCATTCTATTTCTATGAGTGGTGTCATTTACTAAACAAAGCAAAGATTCCTTAAGTATAATTTGTTGAATAAGGCAGATAGTTCAATTCAGCCAAAGCATCAAACCCCCTCAAAGTACTTGATTTAGTGCATTCTTAGCTTAAGAAGGTGGACTGGTAGGCTACAAAAAATGTTGATAGGCAGGTCTCTGCTCTTAGAAGAAAGCTCTAAAAAGGCAAAAGGGAACTGTAAATACCTATCACCTCTTATTAGTGACCAAGCTTAGCCAGAAACTGTAAATGACTCAAAGCTTTTATATATATATATATATTACCCATCTTTTTGCATTTATTATTCCTTTTGGTGTCCATGAAAGTTTCTAGTGCAATAATAGGCTTATAAAGCAATATTTATTAAATTGTTAAATTATAATATGTATGCAAATATATTTATGAGTGTATAATCACACCTATCTAATTCAACAATATGCAAGGCAAAGCATAGCAATCCTACAACTTATAAGCCATTTTTTCCTACTGACAAAGACATCCCTAGCAACACTGACATGAAAAGCTGCTGTATATAAACAGAGAGCAAACACCACTCCCATTTAGCACTGAAGATGTTCACTACCTGGGTAATGAAACATCTGCAAGAAGACCACCAAGCTCAGAGAACACCAAAGACTCCATAGACAGATATTATTGGAATTCAACGTAGCTGCATCAAGGTGAGACAGCCTTTACCTATGGATCCAATACAATCTAATGAAAAAAAAGTTACCTGATTTGCTGCTAATCTATTCAGGTCAGATTTCAGAATCATATAAAAAGAATAAGATTGTAGCTTGCCACACAAAATAGCCATATGATTTCTCAAAATGGCAATTATTTCCTACACAGTCTGCTTTTTTGTTTTGTCTTATAGTGTACACACTTGTATCACTGCTCAATTAGCTGGTCTTTTAATCCTGCTCATCAAGCAGTCACTTGCTCCAATGAACCAAATGAATCTCCCTGGGCCTCTCACCCACTAGAGATCTCTTCTTGTCTGATAGTGAGTGGATTACACAAATTTTATTTTACAGTATGATGAACAAGCTCTTAAATATCTGAAGCCAAATCATAGATGTCTCACTGGGAAAATATTTCTTCTATATCTTTCTCTCCCTCACTGACAAAGATACACTGCCTGTGATCAGCTCAGTTACTAGGTTTTATTATTAAATGTTACCCTATACTTCTTTTAGCAAAGTATCATTTCAGAAGAAAAAATATTATCCAGAAATTGTTTTTCAATGCATAGTAAAAAATGAAACAAACTTCCTTTCCTATGAAATCGAAGAACAGGCAGACTGTTTGCATTTTTTTAAAAAAAATTATACCTTGCTTGTTCTGAATCTAATCATATGTCCTTTGACAGACAGGTGGTTCTCAATTTACAATCACAACTGGGATGAAATTTTGGTCGCATATCATTGCACTTGCAAATTGAGGCACTACATGATCAGATCAGACACAATTTTCCAATCATTTTTATGGTGATCATTAAGCAAATCGTGTATTTGTTAAGGAAACCAGGCAGTCCCAAGTCTGAATCCACCCTCCCAAACATTCATTTTTTTGCTGGAATGCTAATTTTAAAACAATTTATAGTTGTGATAGGTCAGCTAAACTGAAGTTTATTTCATAACAGAAAACAGGAGTGTAGGAGTTAACTTTTTCTAAGGGGAAGGAATTGTTAAATCATAAACTTTCTCCTTCAAAAGATTACAAAAACTCAGGAGATCTGAAAAGAGTGCCTGGAATGTCTGGCTATTCTTTAGGAATATTATTTTAATTATTTAGTGCTAGCTGCAAGCTGCCTCTTCAGATGTTGAGAGATTTGCTGGACAGCAAAATTAAAATTTAACCTACAGAATCTGTTTAAATTTGAAGCAGTTGTCTTTAGAGTCATTAATTTTAAATCTTTATAGTTCATACCGGTACATGAAAGAAAAATAAAATACAAAATATGTGGCATTTTGAGTATAAAATCACTTCTCTCTATACCAACTTGAATGCTCTTTTTTTGTAGTCTATATTAAAGACTATTATTTTATCCATTTGTATGTGGTTGGTTGTTTTTGAGGGCAGGGTATGTAGAATTTGTACCTGATCAACACATCAATGCTCTCCTATTCATTTTGACTTATTTCATCTCACCAAAGAAAGTTAACTCAATGGATACAATTGAGTGAAAAATGCATCTACGTATGATATAGTCCCAAAAAATTTAAGAAAGGCAAAGGTACATATCAAAGAAGCACACAATATTTTTGCAGCTGTTTTGAACCATGTATGTATGTATGTATGTATGTATGTACATACATGTATGAGAACTAAGGAGGTTGAGGAAACATTATCTGCACAACCGCAGACTTTGTAAGCTACTGATCTTGCAACTTTTTTCAGCATGAACATAGGCAAGCTTTTGGGATGGAGTTAGTTTTATTCATCCGATAAATGACTTATGAATAAGACAGAAAAAATACATTTGGTTTGATCCTATTTGTTCTCTTCAAACCATCTGATACCTTCAACTATAACACTGTCCTGGTTGTTTTAAAAATACAGTCAGATAGTAGAAATTATTAATCATTCGTTAAAACACTGGCAGTCAAGAGTTTGGGGGGCAAAATGTTATCAACATGCTGACAACACTCAACTCATTTTCTCATTGGATTCAGGAGATGCTGTGCATATTCTAAATCAGTGCCTGGACCTAGTGTTGTGTGGATGAAGCTGAGGAGAGTCCTTTTAAATAATTCCTGTACAGTAATTGGTAGAGAGTGCACTGCCTCAGAAAGAATGTGTATGAAGTTTAAAGTTTTGCACTGAACATGTAAGGCCCCTAATTTGGGATTGAAACACCTGACAGATCCCCCTCCTCATTACAGATTGGGATAACTGTTATCAGCACAAGCTCAGTTGCATACGACAAAGACTATAATTTTGCACTTCTGCTATTATTAAATCTGCTGCAGTGGTGTATATATAGCCCCTAAGCCAGAGCTTTTGAAGCAAACCTTTCCATAAAAAGCACTATCTGCTTCTGCCCCTCACCTTTAATGCATGTCTATAGATGCTTAAGAGTAAGATGCTTGGCTTTTCTCACCTGACTTTAACAACACAAATGAAGACAGATCACTGATTATTGACTGAAATAAAACTGAACTGATAGCCAATGACTTCCCATTCCCATCCTATTTAGAAGTGGTTGGGTTCTGGTAGTGGGGACTTTTTTCTTGGAAGAGAGTTGTTCTGCAGTGTTTTAAAAGAGGCAATGGTTACCCATTTATGGCATGGAGCTGGGTTATTTGAAGGACTGCTGGAGATTCTCTCTGATTGGTCTGACTGAAATTATGCCATTTGGTGGGCCCAGAAAGAGAGTATTTTCTGTTCTCTTGGCCACAGTGATCTATTTCAAGGCATTGCCACCAGCCCTGGGAATTTGTAGATCTGGCTGAGTGCTTGCAATGGTTGACTTTTTATTCATAAGTTGAATTTTTATTTTGATTCCAATGTGGATTATCACATGCATGCTATTTGCTTTTTTATTCTGTTTAATTATTGATAATCACTCTGAGTCATGAACTTGAGGTAAGTGGCCATATAAATTGAGTTAATATAAATATGTGAAAGCAGGAGAAGGGAACCTTTTATATGGAACTGGGAAAATCTTAGGAAGCTTTCTTGAATGTATTCAAAAGAGGTTCTTCTGAACAGCCTTTTTCAACCAGCGTTTATTCCAAAATTCAAAATGCAGCAATAGAGCTTAATTCAATTGTTTCCCCTCAAGTCAACTCATAACTAGTAGTCTGTGCTGTGACTTAATTAAGCACTACACATATTCAGGATCTCTTTTCAACATTTATGCTATATCCAACCTGATATTAAAACATATCTATAGGAGTTTTGCCCATTATTTTCTACAGCTCCTTCAGCGTTATTTTCTGACTCTTATTCACACACCTACAAATCCTTTAGAAAAATCTCAATTGCATGGTGTCTACACTGATTAAAGTCTGAAGCCTAGTGACCTCATGGGATGTTAACTGCTCCCATGCTCCAACAGCATTCTCTTTTTCTATTCAATTACCCCCTTCTGAACAGAGGCTATCACCACCAAATGAGTGCATACAAAGGCATTCTGCTTCATTACACTAACTCAACAGCAGGATAGGAATAAACAAGCTAATTTATCATCTTTACCTCTCTCATCTTACAAGCCTAACATCTTTTCTTTCTTCTTTCCTAATTTTAATTATCCAGTAACATAAAGCTTGCTAAATTCATAGCATGTAAAGCAACCCAGGGCCCTCCTGAAGGGTTGGATTATAACACCATCACCCCACCCCCCAACCTTTCCCATTTTTACTGGCTAACCAGTTTTATTTATTCTGAAAATTAGCAGATACTTTTTGCCAACTTTTATATTGTAAAAGTTTCAAGCCTATATACTCTTTTGTGTAAATGTCACTGAAATTAAAAGATAGGAGTAAACCAATTTAGGATTATAATTTCATCCCTATGTAACAGATTTTAAAAATATGGAATCTCAAGACTATAACTCAAAGTATAGAACTGAATCAAATTGTGGTCCAAATTAGTACACTTTTTGTTATCAAATGGTTTATTTTTTTTCTCAGATATTCA